ATAGTTTTAAGTGACAGAAAGAGAGTTCGCCATCTCACGATAACATTGAAAAGGAGAAATAAGTGAACAGACAAAAAACAACCGATGAGCCACGCATTGCCTATGACTAAGACCGTAATACTGAATCAATAACAATTGTGACTAGCATTCAATAAGACTATTTGAGTTGTCATATTTTACACTACAAAGTAAATTTGTACTGTACAACGCTGAGATAATTCATTTCTGAATAGATGGGCGATTAGTTTTCACCGAGATTAACATGGCAAAACACTGAGGAATCTAGCTCAATGAGAAAAAAACAGGTTCTTAACGTCAGGGTCAACCGCAGAAATTCCCACGACATCATTTACATGCAATTCAAAACATTCTTGAAGTCACTCTTGCTTGCAATTTTTGTTTACCTGTTTGTAAGTTTGCCTAAGCCAAAACAAAATGAAAGAATGGCAAGAGAACTTGAATTCTGATAACAGTCAAAAGTCGATAGTTCTTTCTTGACAGGGTGTAAGGAGGCAAGTTCGCGAACAGCCGCCGAAATTTCATGGGTAGCGATGTTGAAAACCAGAACTGTATGTGCTACTTGATTTAGCAGTGAAGAAAAAGCGGATAAAATCGTCGCAAACGCCCTTAAAAGGGCCCCTTGCTTTGAAAAAGAGTTGAAAACTCGCTGAGAACTCAAGCGAGAGACCAGAAACGAGTTTGGAGGACACATAAAAAGTAGCGAAATGACGGACCTGGGGCTGAGTCACTCACGTCCAGAGGGAACCACTTGAGCACCCTTATGATTCAACGCCATAACCTTACAACTTTCTGTCGCAAAACTGGTACACGGTTGTGGCACACATTATCTTTCCTCACACAACGTTCAGGCACAGTCCTATGAGTAATCACGAAATATACTTCAAAAAAAGAGAGAAGTAACTTTAGTATGGCTCTAAAGGGAAAAAGAAAGTACTGATATTGCCCGACATGGAAAGCTGTAAACTTCTTATTCGATTCATCATAATGGAGATAACGACGGTTTGTGAATCTCCAAGGAAAGAGGCCCCGGTTACGCCATTCCTACTTGTCAGCTGATTAGTACAGGGCTATTTGGTAGGATATAAACGCCTTCAATGGTGACTGGTTTATAATGTTTGCATGGACCAAACACTTCAGCGCATCGGAGTGCAAAAGAAGCGCATGGAACACACCAAGTAGAAGTCATTAGGGCTCACTGATCTATCCTCCTTCTGTGTGCACCTCAACGCCCTAGAACACTGTCGTGCGAGATGGGCGAATTCATCGCGAATTAGTCGACGACGTGCGCGGCGATTGGCGCGGCAATTCAGAATCCAGCGCTGCCTTACCTACAGATTCTTTGAAGCAAAGCATTCACGCAAGTTGAAGGTGTCTTCGACAGGCATCCCTTGACGGACCGTCGATTCGTGATCGCTTTAACAATTTGAAC